CGACTCGATTTTCACGAAATTCGAACTCAACCGTCATTAGGGTGATATGTTTATTATGACAAGCTAAAAACGCGATTTTTCAAAATCGGATAAAAAATTATGACCTCTAGAGGGGACACATGCTTGGTATTACATAGTTTTACACTATTTGCGTACAAGGAGCGACCATCTTGTCGGTCAATTTTGGTCCGATTTTCACGAAATTCGAACTCAACCATTATTAGGATGTAACGGTGATACAATTAAAGGATTTTTAAAATCTGATAAAAATTGTGACCTTTTGCTAAAATCCACGAAGTTACGGTCCGATACAATATCGAGATCTTTTGGATATACACCTATAATATTTCAAGTTCGTCAAAATTGGATAGAAATTGTGACCTGTAGAGTGTCCACAAATAAATTTTGGACGGAAGGACGCTCGGACGGACAGGGGTGACGACAATCACGTCCACATGAAAACGTGGGCATATAAAAACAATGATAAATAGATAACAATGTACAGTTTGTTTTGGTATAAATTAAATCACTTTGTAATTAATACCGAAGATATTATTTTTTGTGCTCTCTAACAGTTGCACTTGAGCTAAAATTTCAAGTTCAGCTTTTGAATATCGTGTTCTCGATATCATGAATATAAAACTTGCCAATAGATATGAAATGTTATTAAGACTAAAATACTTATGAAGACTACTTATATTTAAATATTACAATAACCATTTACTATTTCTATACTGCATGTTAAGTGATAAAAGAGATGGAGTTTTATCTGTTTTTAAAGTGGTCTTTGGTTATGGTGATGTTCTATTTATTAGTAATTTAAAGGAAGACAAACCCATGTATTGTTTTACTATATATTATCGGTCTAATCAGTATTGGCCACACTTTTTCAGTGATCGTGACAAAGCTGAAAACAATCTCGAGAAACGTTTAAGATTCGAAAAACCATTGGAAACGCTAAATCTTCGGAGACTTCTTGTACCTACCATTACTACATGATTACGAATATTTTGACTATCGGCCTAAGGTTCCGCCGATTCATGTACGATCCACACGAAACTGGGCACGCTTGTTCCTTGGACATTTGCGCATCGATTGACGAACATCGATTTTTGATATGTCACAGTTATTCCAAGATGGTGGCGATGACGTCATAGTTCCTGGTCCTCATCAGCGATATCACTTAGGTGGAAGCGGACGTAAAACTTCTATTTCACACACCACCATCAAAAACTTACCATTCGATCGGACGAGATTTTAGTAAATACATGGTTATTATTGCGATTAGTTACAGATTCTCAACAGTGGATAGAGCAGTCTTTTTCATTTTGGAGGGTGTATGTGTGTGTGTGTGTTTGTTGGGGGTTGGGGCAATGCCGTGTCTGACTCACCCCCCAGGGCCGTAACTAGCTCAGAGCAACCGGGGGGGGGGGGGACGAGAAGTGTTCTCTCAGGGATGCTGTAAAATTGACGGACAATGTATATCAATTTTTTTTATGGTGGAAAATCTTTCCAGGGGGGGGGGGGGGAAGCTTGGTCCTCCAGCCCCCCCCCCCCCCTTAGTTACGGGCCTGTCACCCGTCTTCGCTCTTGCATAGTTTCTATTAGTTATCTGCTAGTAAATTAATTACCAAGGGATCAGGGTTTATCTTTTCGAATGCACACAATTTCTGGTTCAGTAATACTGTTTTAACTAAGTGAGATATTGTTTTGTGCTTGCCAAAACAGACAGAAAAAATGTTTTCTATTTCTTTATCAAATGGCACCATCGCAAAATTTCATCTTCATTTATAGAGTTCCAAATATTGCATACAAGTTGATAAAATCTGACAACTATATAAATATAACTTCTCTTAACAGCTTAGCTCTGATCCCATTCCTTGCAGTCCGATCTGTCAGTTACGGGTACCAAACAAAGTAAATAAGCCATTATATTCAGTTAAATGCAGTAAATATGTTACTAAACCTCAACTTCCTTCTAAATATTTTATTTCAAGTTTAGTCTATGTTATAATTTTCTGTTTTACCGTATAACTATTTTATCTTCTAGATTATCCGAATATCTGCCCCCATCTTTTAAATAAGAAGAATAACTTAGGCAGACAAATTATGTAATAATAAAATGGATGGAGTCAAAGTTTTTTCTTTTTGAAAAACATACAAAAAGAATGCAAAATATTCCCAAGTTCAGTACACAAAAATCATTACTTAGATACGTTTCAACGCCCGAAATTTAACTTTTCTTTTCTTTTGTATTGAGAAAAACTCTTCAAGACAGAAAGGACATTTATCAAAACAAAGCTCAAAGAATAGAATCATCAATCATTTAAGACAAATATTCATAACACGGCTTGATGAAGACTATACATAAGAAAAACGTTGAAATCCATCTTGACTGCAATCTAAAACAAATCCAAAGAAATCGTCGGTCGAGCTGAAAATGACTAATGGATATTGGGTAAGTAGGAAGAAAACAGTCAAGAAATAGTCTATCTGGTTGCTTAAAGGAGCTGTTTCAAATTACAAACACAAACAAGAATTCACTGTTGGTCCATTTCAATCAATATTGACGTTGTTATCTTGCCGCAAAACTATAGAAACCTAATATCCAATATTAAAGACACAATGAACATTTTAAAATCAGTACACTTTATGGTTTCATTTGTAATGAAGAAAGAAAAACAGCATAAAACGTGTAGAATGTACTAAGAAGGCGTAAACGACTGTCGCTCGTTTTGACAGTTCACGAATTTCACCGAACATAAATTGATTAGAAATAACAATCAATCTTTAGAAATTGAATATAAATCATTTTATATACATTCATATTACATTAATATTATGTTATTTTAGACCCATTTTAACGAAGAATAAGAATATCAGTGTACCTCAAAACGTAGATGTGGGTTAACGTTCCATTCGCGCAACACTTATTTTCAAGTTATATGTCTTAGGCGTGCAATAACAGGGGAGATTAGTGTCGCGAGTCACGTGCCCCGCACGACTGCCACCCACATGGATACACGAATATACATATGAATCTGGTGTCGGACGGGATTTTACAAGCCTGTCTCCATTTCGCACGTCATCGAAAAAACGTTTTTCCAGCATGACAACGCCCGTGCCCACACCGCCAGAGTTACTTGGAACTTTCTACAGCAGAACAGTGTCAACGTTATGCACTGGCCAGCCCTTAGTCCGGATTTAAACCCGATTGAACATCTTTGGGATGAAATTCAGAGGAGACTTAATAAAGTCGTACCGAGACCAAACAGCCGATGGATTGTGCCAGGCTTTTCTGAGAGTGTGGTTCCAGGTGCCAATGGCGTTCATCAATCGTCTAGTCCACTCCATGTACAAGACGCTGCGCTGCTGTTATTTACACTGGCGGTGGACACACCAGATACTGATGTATAGACTGTGTACAGACTCTAAACCTTCTCGTAATGTCTTGGAATTGTGATGAATTAATCACTAATGTGTCAACATACTGTTCACAAAAAATTGCTTTGATCCATTTAGTAAGTCGTTTTCTAGAATGATTTGATTAAAGTGCCTTTCTGATTTTGAAATCGTACTGACGTTTTTTGACGTTTGTTTACATTTATTTACGATGTCCTGTGAAATCAAGGATTTCCCCTTTAAAACTTGTTTTGTACATCCAAAATTCATGTCTGATTTTTTGTTATGGATTAAATTATTTTTCTCTAAACTAACGCAATAATAAATATACATTATTAAATTATCTGAAAACATAGCAATGTGATATCAGCCGGTTACAAGATAGAAGATGTCAGAGCCATTTGTAAAAATCCCCTTGAAATAATCTTTGTCTAGCCAAGGTATAACAGAATTAGATATCCGATAAGGATTTGTATCTATTTCTAACAAAGGCATTAATCTTTATTATGATCACAAAGCGTCTTGATTATTTATATTAATGGAAACCCTTTGGTAAACCGTTCTTAGTATTTTGTTATTCTGGAAAAGGACTACTAAAGGGAAATATATACGAACGGGAATCAAGAAGCACATAAACCCCTTATTGCACAGCACTTGGCACGTCATGATTATTCATAAAATCTAGATATCTTTCATGGTTTACTTTTAAGATACATTATGGGAGATTCGATAAAGAGCTGGCAGTTCCCACTTATAATATTTAAAATCTTGACAATGTAAAGGCAATTTGCTGAAAATTTCATTCAAATTGATCCACTATGAACCGAGAACAAAGCGATTAAATTTCCACCTAGCCTTGATCATAAGATACATATTGACCATAAATTGAACGAAAATGATGTTTGTGTAAGTATTCATTTCTTTATCTCCCCCGGTAATCATGGCGATTTACCTGCCAGATAGAGATAAAAACTTTATAGTTAATTAACCAGTTATGGATAGACAAGTTATCTCCCTTGACACACTAAAGGGAGTAAATTATTGCACCAATTTTTAATACACCAATGTGTACTATTAATTACAACAGCTATTTTTAAATGAAATGGGGTTTAACATCCTACTGTTCTGCTCCAAACTGGGCTAATGAAGACAGGCATACAGTGTGCTATGAGGGAAATTTTTCCCGGACACATGAAAATGTGGGGTATAAAAATCGTGGATGGATGGATAGGGATGACAAAAATATGAAATGTGGGCGTATAAAGCAACCAAACTGATGGGAAAATATTTTTGAATTACACTACGGTTCTGACCCACACTAAACCACTACAAAAAGTTTTTTGTATGTTACAATAGTTATATCATTTGAATAATTCACTTGTGTGTAGTGGTCTTTAGCAGCTGGAGGAAATTGGAGGACCAGGAGAAAACCCATGTGGTTTGAAAAACAACCCTATTGTTTGTCATGTACAAACGGGGAATCTAAACCACGCCATTTAATTCAATGATAGACCTTATGATCTAAAGCACACATGTTGAACCATTCGGACAACCAACCCCTATATCTCTAAAGAGGAAGGAACAATAAAAAATATGATAAATTGAATTTATTTTATATACATGATACAATCTGATTAAAACACAGATTCTATTTCATTTTTTTATAGTTCAAAATTTCATTTTATTTTTCTGTACTACACTAGGATCTGGAAGAGTTGTTATATAACCTGCATTCTGGATGATGTGAGGGATTAGCCAATGAAACCATCTGTTACGGCGACTTCTTGGCATGCGATGCATGGAACTGTGGGTATGCCACTAGAAACATCAACGCTGATTGATTAATCAATGTCTGACGTCATAGGGTCAAAAGCCGTTCGTACGACCTCTGATGCGAACTTTTACTACAACCGGCCAGATCTAAATTTAATGTAGGCCACTGAAAGTTTCAAAAAAACAAAATGAAATATAGATCTGTATTTATTTTAATCAGATTGTATATGATGTACTCTATCAAACATTACAAACTCCTTACTACAATTTAAATGTAAGCTTTATATTGCACATATTCTTTAAATGGCATTTAGTAATTGAAACATAATCAAATAACACACTATTTATGGATAACAATTACTGTGGTTTATTTCACTGCGACGTTTCAACAAGATTTCACAAGTCGTTATCAAGCATATAACACAAATAAAATCTGCGACGTTTCAACAAGATTTCACAAGTCGTTATCAAGCATATAACACAAATAAAATCTGCGACGTTTCAACAAGATTTCACAAGTCGTTATCAAGCAAATAACACAAATAATTGTTATCCATAAATAGTGTCTATATTGCACAGTTAGAAAATCTATGATGGGAAGTACAAAAAAACATTTAATTAAATTAGTGCAATCCAAAATATTCACAGAAATCTTTGAATAAAAGTAAGCCTAATTTTATTTGACACACCGAAACCATTATAGTATGATATTCTATAAATTGAATGATCAAAAACATGAATATATGAAGGAAGTATTTATATCTTATAGGTATTATATTAAAAACTTAAACAATAACATCAACGAAAATATCATTAGATGTAACCAGCTCAGGCTAAAATAGATATTTCACACCCATTTTTCACATTTGGCAAGTAACTTGTAAACAAAATTAGCTATATTGATTGGGTGTTCCCAGAATACTTTTATTTCTGCGATACTCAATGGCAAAAACTTGCCGTTTTTGGTTGCTGGAGTACAACTTTGCTTGTTTGAGTATTTTTCAAATGCTTTTTTTCTGAAAATATTATGGTGTAACAGTAAACCAACTCCAAAGCTGAATATTTGTACCTTTTCTTAAATGCATATTTAACGGTCTTTGAATACCGCATTTTTTAAAATTTATGCATACATGTACATGTAGTTATATTTTGAGTATGTGTCTTATTTAGCCAGAGCCAGTCACAAAAGTGTTTGCAACTCAAGGAATGCACTTTCAAAACCATATGTAAATTCCCAATCAAAACAAAGAGAAAATTCTATTTGCTTTTATTTTTATTTTACAAATTTTAGAAGACAATTTCCTTGATAGTTATGAACAATACCTGGAGAGATTGCTATGTAATATTTTATTAGCTTTAATCTAACTAAACAAGATCTGATTTCACGATTAAACTTTAATCATAAATTAAAATCAATCACAAGATGGGCAAAAGAGTATTTCTCCCTGCCACTGTAACATAAATATTAATTATTTCCAGCAGGTTACAGATGACAGTAATTTTTAAAATTAAAGTGACTGTCTATTTAAAGTTTTCTGTTCAGCTTGCATTATTTATTTTTTGGTGTATCTTTAAGGCTTGTTTCTGTAAGTCAGGATCAGGGAATATTTCTAGTCCTTGTAACACAAAAGCCAAAGCTGTTTCATAATCCTTCGCTTTATAGCTGAGTCTGAATTTAAAAAGAAATTATTACACATTGGAATCCCATATTATGTAAAATTCTATTGCACAAAAAATCAACCACATGTTAATAATTGTCATACTTTTGTTATTTTTGACTTTTTTTGTGTATTTCATTTTGATCTTGGAAAGTGGATTTAATACAAAGGTATACAACCATTACGATACAACATTTAAAAGCATGACACATTTGACCTCACTTCTGAGGTCTGCTTTGAATTGAATTTCTAGTTTTCCAAATCTGATATAAATGTATATGTTTACAGGCTCACATATAATAAATAAAATATACAATTTTAAATAACCTCTAGAACCCTACAAAGAGTCAACCAAAGTCTGGAAAAATAATGCATTCTACAAGTGATTATGCCTTGACAATAATGTGTGAATTAACACATGACCTTGCTGCCAATTTGATTAGTCTAACTTCCCTGGTTATGATAGTAACCCCTAACACTGCAATTTGAGATAATTCTTTAGTCAAAGGTTTTTCAAAATATATACATGTATGCACAAAAGCCACAAATCAGACATTGTCCCTAGGAATGTCAGTAGTTGTAAAGTGGGGTCTGGGTTAAGACATTTAAAATAAATTATTCATATATTTATATTATTAGTCAAAAATTGTCGAAATTTTATATAATACCTGCAATTATCAACACATTCATTAAACTGAAGTTTTAAATCTTCCGTTAAACTTTCAAATCCATCTTCTTCTGTTGATAAAACGAAACAAAACAAATATTTTTCGAATTATATAATCAAATGATGAAATGATTTAAATAAAATTAATTACATAATCTAGACAATATCCACTTTAAATCAAGTTTGTATCTACAGTAAGCCAACATTCCACATTACTGTTAATCATCAGTAATCATAATTCACACAAGGAAAACTGATTGGTGAGATTGACACAATTTAAAACAAAAACATATTTCTATTAATTGTGCAGACTTGGTTTCATCTTTTTTGTTGACCGCAATAGTACTATGAGATTTTCCAGCTTACTTTCCCCTTGTCAGTGGTGCAGGATGGATGACATAGCAAGGACAAGAGTCTAGTCATATAGATGGAACAGATCGAATTTGAAATAAGAGTAAGCTGTAGTGCCGATCTCTGAGCAAAATTTGCCTCATCGAACATTTCATGGTGTATACAGTAAAGTAGGATGTTAAACCCCATTTAATTTACTGTGCAGACTCATGTTATACATTCATTTAGATACAATCTTCAAGTATTGTAGTGCTTGGGATGCACAAGTTAGATTTGTGCTTCCATATTATACTTATTAATACTTAACATCAAATCAGATGTTAGCAGAGTTTGCCAAGATCAAAATTGTTAGTGTATGTTACATGTTAGTTAAATGTAAATATTTACCATCTTCACTTCCTTCATCATCATCACTCTCTTCTTCGTCATCTTCATCATCATCATCAATAAATGATCCATCATACTCCTCGTCCTCATCACCATGTCCATTGACTTCATTATCATTACTTTCATGCTCAACATCCTCTCCTTCTGGTTCCTCTTCACTACCAACATCCTCCTCATCATCATCTTCATCAAACATATCCTCATCCTCAACCATCTCCTCATCATCCTGGTTTTCTACAAGATTATCTTCTTCATCTGAGCTTCCTATAACTTTTCTTCTGGGCATTGACTTACGAGCAACAATAGGGCTCTCCTCAGCTTCGATGTCTGACTCAGATTCTTCACAAGAATCTTCGATACATGGTGTACCTTTACTATTAACAATGGGAGAAATATCGTCTGTTACGCTACCACTATTAAATTGTTTAGAAAGATTAGAAAGGACAGGAGACTCATCAACCAGTGTCTTAGTTGATTTTTGACTTTCATATGAACTGTTTAAAGGTGAATCTTGGACAAGTGTTGATTGAAGATCAGAACTTGTGGATGAGGGTTTTCGTGGAAATGGTGAATCAGGGCTACGGCCCATTAAAGACATATTTAATCGTACACCTTGTGAGGACATGTAAAGATTTCGAGAAATTCCTGAACGTGGCTGTAATGAAAGAAGAGGACTAGATGCATCAGGAGAGATTATAAGTTCTTCTTCGATGACTCGCTCTTTTTGTTTAGGAGTTCTGAAAGGTGAATTTACTGGTATTTCAGGAACTTTAAATGGAGAATTAGCACTAACTGAAGTTCTAGGGCTGGATATATTATGTCTTTGTTTTGAATCCTGTCTGCATTCACTATTTGATGTTTTTTCAGGTCTATGAGAGTTATCTATAGCACTGTTGTGATTTGAAGAAGACTGTAAATCAATGTTTTTGGACTGAGCTATGTTGACATTATCATTTGGTAAATGTACAACAGTCTGATTGTCCATGGTCCAATCACCACTCATATCAGATTGTTTAGTTTGATTGTCCATGGTCCAATCACCACTCATATCAGATGGTTTAGCTCTGAGATCGTCTGTGGTCCCATCAATACTTTTATTATCTGATGATTTAATTGGACTATGGTTAGAACTTATATTGGGACTGACACTATTTTCACTAACAATAGATGTATCACTCTCTATATTTTCTTCTTTAATAGACATGTCCATCTCTTCTTCTTTAACACGAGTAACAAAAAGTTGTTTACTAGTTTCAGTTTTAACATCATATTCTTTCTTTATTTTTACATTTTTCACATCAATGGGACTCATCTTAAAAATAAAAAAAAATAATATTCTAATAAAATTGAAATCCTCATTTTAAACCATTACGATTCGTATCACCTGCTACTTCTGATGTCATCAATTACCTGATACTGGGTGTATTTGTCACCACGAAATGACTATGAAAGAAAATTGTGATCATACAAATACTTCCACAGTTAGTTACACTTAACTTAGATTACGAAGGAAGACCATTATAAATGCACCATAATGTTGCCATTTTTTGTGACTTACACATTTAAAATTAAAATAATATTAACAGAAACACCTATAATGTTATGTGAAAGGGGTGTGGGGTGTAACTCTGGAACAGAATATTGAAGAATGCTAAATATTGATAGGTTTCATTGTATTCATCCATTCATGACCCCAATGCTCCCCACCATATTTGAAAATAAACCGTTAATCACAATAGCTTTTGAAAAAGGCAGCATAGCTCTGGTATGAAAGGCCGTGGAATACTAAATATTGATAGAATTCGTCTTCTCAAAATCACAATGCTTAATACCAAATTCGAAAAAGATCCGCAAAAAAATGTAGCCTCTATCGCCTTCACAAACAAATTGCTGTGTGGGTGTATAAAAATCTGAACTCACCATTTCCTCCTCATCAATACAAATAGGTGATTGAGGACATGTATTTTTAACTGGTGTACTGTTTGATGTAAGATCTATAGTTTCTACAACTAAAACATGACAAAATACTATTATTGTAGAAATAAAATACAAATTCAACATTAGAGTGGTATAAATGGTGATCATGTTTCACTCCGTTCAAAATCACAACCATCTGATGGTCCAGACAGTTGATTATGGGCTTGTCATGTGAATAAATGTTTAATAATTTAAATAACATTTGAAGCCATAAGAAATAATAGACTGCTTTAGCTCTTAAATAATGCATCTTCAACCAGTGGAATTAATCTAATCAGAATTAACAACATACCAATATATCAGACTCAAGAGATCATTTACCATTATATTGTGAAATCATTTTACATCACTGGGTAATAATTTAACAATATACACAGGTCACACTTCTATAGAATGGGGTGATGGGTGATCTAGTGGTTTAACATGTTCACGTGAAATCAAAGGTCTGTCAATGAGTCAAGTGGCATGGTTTTCATTCCCCACTTGTACGTGACAAGAAATAGGGTTGCCTGTCCAACCTTGTGGGTTTTCTCCAGGTCCTCCATTTTTTTCCCACTGCTAAAGACTCCTAGGGGCAAGCGAATCAATAAAATTGAACCATGTTAGTCATGAAATGACCTAGTTTGTGTCGAGCAGACGTTAAACCTCATTTCTCTCTCTTTTCTATGGAATACAATTACTGAGCAACCTTTCTACTTGTTCTGTATAAATGCCTTCAAAACAGTTTTTATACTCTTAGAAAAAATCAGGGGATATTCAAAAACAATACAAAACTGCGGAAATGCACTGCTGTTTTTATTAGAGGTAACCAGAGTATGTTAATAACAGGCCGATTGCCTAGGCATGAACATAAACAGTTCATATGGGCGGCTTATCTGAAGGCCCCATTTCACTCGCAAAGAGATACACTGTCAAAAGTGAAAATGGACGTTTTTGATTTTTGTCTTAATAATGAGTAAGCTTAATTGCTCCACCAATCCTCAGACATTCAGCAATTCGTTGTGGCATACTCTTAATGATTTGGGGCAATCTGATCCACTCCTCTTGCAGTGCTACGGCCAATTCTTGTAGTGTTGTCAGTTTCCTCTATAGGGGAAAGGTCAGGACTCGTGGCTGGCTAAGGAATATGGACAATATGGTGACGCTGGAAGTAGTCATTCACAACACGAGCGTAGTGGGCACGGGCATTATCTTGAAAGATGAAACGTCGACCTGCACGTTGAGCAAAGGGCAGCACTATCGGTGCCAGGAGATGGTCATGGTAGTACACACCAGTGACCCTTCCTTGAACAATATGCAAGTCCGTTCTGCCAGTCATGGTGATTCCTCCCCACACCATAACAGACCCACGCCCGAATCTGTCATGCTGTCTGACGTTAACGTTAGCATGACGCTCATTTACGTGCCTCCAAACGCGAGCAAGCTTATCGGTGAAATCCAGAGTAAATCTGGACTCATCTGAGAACATTACACGCACCCATCGACGATTATCCCAATTTCTACGCTGCCTACACCATTGACGCCTGTTTGCCATGTGCTGGTGAGTTAATGGAGGCACAATACGCGGTCGTCGCCCATGCAAATGGGATGCATGTAGCTGATTTCTAATCGTTGTACAAGTTTACAGAAAGCTAATTGGCTGTTTTTTTCTCGATTTCGCAGGACCTGTGTACAAATGTATTGATCCTGGGCTTGTGTAGTGGCTCTAGGATGACCTGAACGAGGTCTATCATCAACATTGTGTGTTGGTTGGTATCAGTTCCACAGACTGTGACACATTAAGAATGTTAGCTACTGCTTGCTGTGTAGAACCCATTTGAAGCATGCCAATAGCACGTAGACGTTCATCATGTTTAAGACGTCTCATTGCAAATTAAACGTAATACACTAAAGCAAAGATACGCTGAACAGTAAATCTTATGCAAGAACCAATAGGAGAGCAAACATGGATAAGATAAACCAGCACGCGGCAGTTTTGATCAATCCTTCCTTGAAGTGTCAAATTTGACAATGAACCCCTCCCATGTGTATGGCGCTATTGCATGTCGCACGTACAGCTCAGTGGTTCTGTTGGGGCGATAAGTTCTTCATCTGTGAACATACTCTCAAAGCATGTCAAGTGTCCACGACTATTTATCATATCACAATCTGCATAGGTATTTGCATTTCAATATCTCCTACTTTTTTTGAAGAGTATATTTTATAATAACTTACCTCTTGGTGGTATAAATGTATTATGTGATATTGTGTTTGTAGGTTTGGGTATAAATGCTGGAACATTTTGTCTATCAGCAGTAAAAGTGGTAGCTTTTTTTTCTGGAAATCTTTCACTGTTGTTTTGAGGTGCACTTGATTCCATCTCTATCAGCTGTTGAGCTCTTTGAATCTGAAATACAGCACATATTTAACATGAAAAAATCAATATATTCGTAAAATGTGAGGAGAACAAAACCTGTCCTAGGCTGTAGGACATATATGTAAATCTAACTTATATGTACAGAGAGAGAGAGAGAGAGAGAGAAACTAGGTCATTTCGGGACTAACATGTGGTTTAATTTTATTTCAATAATTCGCTTGCGCGTAGGGGTCTATAGCAGTGGGAGGAAACCACAGGACCCGGAGAAAACCCACGAGGTTGGACAGGCAACCCTACTCCTTGTCACGTACAACCGGGGATTCGAAACCACGCCAGTTGACTCAATGACAGGCCGTATGCTTATATGCACATCCTTTCCTCATAAACAATTATAATATGGGAAAGGAATGGAATTTTAACAACTCATCAATTCAATATTTCAGTTTATTTTATTGATTTTGGTCACATGCACTATGCTATTGATGAGAATTCAGTCTAGTAGACAGCTGCATTTACTGAATTGAAATTATAAATGACAGTAATACTTGCACCATCCGTCCCACGATTGAGAAATGGGCATGAAAATTCATCTCTTCTCCTGCATGATTTGAACCTTGGATATTCTAGGTGGGAAAGCGATAGTGAAATTGGGTTTAACGTCCACTCAATACAAATTAGGTTATTTTGGGACTAACATATGTTACAATTCAATTACAAACAATCGATGGCACATACAAGTGTAATGTCGAAACCAAACGCTCGTATTAGACCAGTCATCCACCTAAGCATCCTTTTTAATTGTGAGTCTAGTGCCATGATTGTATATTAAACTATAACTTACCCTACTTTGTATATAATCATTAGATTGTTGATTAACTGAACCAGTATTGTTATAAGATTGTGTTGCTGTATCTTCTTCTTCTTCATCTTCAAACTTTATCTCTTGACTAAACATCAAATCATGATCACTTACTCCAAATATCTCTACAAATTACCACAATGAATAATAAATGAATGAATTTATCCTCTACAAATTACCACAATGAATAATAAATGAATGAATGTACACTCTACAAGTTACCACAATGAATAATAAATGAATGTATAATAATAATAGTAGTATGTACATTTATACCGCATGCTCAAGGCGCTACACTATCTGGGTGTCATGAATAGATGAGTTTTTAAATTAGTTTTGAATTTTTCTAGGCAGATGATAGTTTAATGTTTAGGGGTAATGAATTCCACAGAACAGACACAATGTATTCTCTACAAGTTACCACAATGAATAATGAATGAATATGTTTTCTAAAAATTACCACAATGAATAATGCAGATATTATAATGCATAATATGTGTATCCATCTTTCACATTGGCTAATGTGTATTCTTAATGGAAACTGTACACAATACACATACTTAACACTTGTATATTAATATATCACTGTGTGTATTAAATACTCAGACACCAATATGAACATTCTCAAGTAGAAATATACAACATTTTGGAGCTAGGCTTAATAAAGTTTTGGGCTATTCAGCTAAATCTGTCTTTCCTAATTTAGAAATATGAAAATTTGTAATACAAAGCGGCAACTTTTAAAACAAGCTTTTTTAATTTGTTTAATTTACCTAGACTATGTAAATAGGCTATATGAGCATCTAATTTATTATCAGATCGTCTATCTGTTGTATGCATCTCCTGTAACTGTTGTTGTGTAGTAGAATGACGAGGGGTCTCTAGTTTAAATAATTCTTTTAAATCTTGCTTGGTAAAATACCTAAAATAAAAAATATTAGGCCATGTGAAAAAAACAACTTGTTGACTCATTGTCCGACCTGAGAAATAAATCTGAATTGAAATCTTACTGATGACGTACCCACAAATGACAAGTGATTCTCAATATATCTTTAACAGAATGGAATGTCTGGTAACTAAAAATATGCCCACAGAAAATCAGAACAGTCCACAAAGGTTACTGAATATTTATTCTTTAGAAGCTAATCTAAGCATTCACTAGACACTTTCAAGTCAACTTTAGCCTTCTGAGCTTCCACAAGACTATTCAAACTTCTTATTTCATGAACTAAAATCAATCTTCTTCTTCTGAACATAAACACTGTATAATTTTCAAATTAATCAGATGTTAACATCAGCCTCTACAGCAGTCAACCGGACAGGAAAATGGGGGTGATGACAAAATACAACCACATTTCAATGTGTGTGTGTACAAAATTACAAGATTATTGTTTCTTGCATTAAATATACATATATCCAAATAGCATAAAGCAGATTAAAAGCATATACCTCGTACTATGTTCTAATGAATAAATATTATTTAAAGATACAGCATATGTAAGAGCTAAATCTGTCTATTGCAAATCTTTATTTTGGCTTCAAATGTTATATAATCTATTATTTAGACATCTATTAACAAAATTAACAATAAAAAGGACAATCTACGATAAAACAATTATATCTTCAAACATTAATAACTTTGCTCAAAATAAAGTAATTTAAATGAAATTTTCAATATATTCTTTTCTTATTTTTTATATTTTTGAACTATTATAGCAGGAATGTCCAACTTTTTATCTATATTTTACATAATGCATCTTTAAAGATACATTCCTGGGTACAAACTGGGTGGTTTGATGGTATATTTGGACTAAAAACATATTCAAACTTATTAATTTATCATAAATACTTTTCTGGGAACATAGCTTTAAACCAATCATACTTTTCTAGAATATTTCACAATTTACTATGTGACTACAGCAAATACATACATATCATAGACATATTATCAACATGTATGGATCATAGGTCAATATTCCTCTATCATTCTTAAACAGGTCTAATGACAAGTGCTATGAGGTTTCAGGGAAATAATAAGTATACCCTGCCTCATGCATGAAATGGATAATAGGTCAACATCGCTCTATCACTCTTACACAGGCCTAATGACAAATGTGATCAGGTTTTAGATAATTAATAAGTACAGTATACCCTGTCTCATGCATGAAACCTGTAACAGATTTTAGATTTGAGACCAAAACGAATGTGCAATAAAACTGAGAATGGTCTACATGGAACGCTTGGTTTCTGCTAGTAACATTTATTTTACTCATTAGATGGAAGGATCGTGGACAAAATTCATGAGAATAAAATTTAAAAAAATCAGTGTTAATTTGAAATGAGATGCATATATATAAGCTTTGATTTGTTTTCAGGTCCCATAATTATATATTGTATCTTTATAATCTGTAAATATTTAATGAATAAATATTGTTAGAAAAGATTTGTTTTTTTGTTTTTATGTGTAATATAGAAAGAGAGAGAAATGGGGTTTAACATCCACTTAACACAAACCAGGTCATTTCGGGACTAACATATGGTTTAATTTTATTTCAATAATTCGCTTGCGCATAGGGGTTTTTAGCGATGTGAGGAAACCGGTTGGACAGGCGACCTTACTCCTTGTCACATACAACCGGGGATTCGAAACCACGCCAGTTGACTCAATGACAGGCTTTATGATACAGTGCGCACGTGCTAACCATTTGGCCATCCCCCCCCCCCCCAAGTGTAATATACTTAGCATATCATACCCAAAATCTATCCATAAAAAATGACCAATATATGGATAATTGAAAGTTTCAAGATTTAATTTTCATTGTATATAAAAAAGTTATAGAATTTTAGCTATATGGGTTTTCCTTATCTGCCAATCATTCTTCTATTATGTTAAATAATAAAACTGGTTACATGTACTCTATTGTCGGAGGGCCTGACAAGGACAGCTGTCTAGTCCTTTGGATGATACGAAAAACAGAGGTCCCGTGTATATATTGGAATGCACGTAAAAGATCCCCTGGCAGTTGGAATTTGATATAAGAGTAGGCAATAGTGTCGCTGCCCGGGCAAAATTTCCCTCATAGCACACTGTATGGCGTATGCCCGTCTTCATTAACCCAGTATAGGAGCAGAACAGTAGGACGTTAAACCCCATTTCATTTCATTTCATTTCATTTCATTTCATTTCATTTCATTTCAGTACTCTATTTTCTATAAAACAGCCTTAGCTTTCATGTTACCTTACTGTTAAGAGTATCTGAATTGTAGAGAGCAGTGAAATAAAGTGTATGTTCGAAGAATTTAGAAACAGATTATCTAATAAACATTTTTTTCCTTTAGTTTTTTTTTTTTTTTTTTTTTTTTTCTCTCGAGTAACAAGTTTATTTAGAAAAATATAAATACATTCATTTATGCATGAAACTATAAACAATGCAATATACAATTTTATATTATAGGATTTAAATATTTACATTTCCTTGAGGGTCAATATCTAATTACATGTATTTACATTTTCAAAGTTTGAGTTTTGACCTTAACAGATCAGCTGAATACCTTTTTTTAAAATAATTTATTTACAGCCCACATAATTAAAAACTATTTTTTTAGTTATATGACACTGATTGATTTGCATGTCATTCAATGATAATACCTGACTCATATTTTTATGTATATTCTTTAATACACATTCATGATAGTGAGTGCACAATACACACTTGATATTTAAAAATTTAAGGTAAAAATAAAAATGCATAAGAGTTATCCCGAAATGCTGTTGCATCTTGAGTTTTTTGCATGTCACTTTATTATCAATTATTAGAAGACACCCCTCCCATATTACATCTACTTTATTCCTAAGCATTTTAAAATTTCAAAAAAGAGTCTAATGGTAATGATGTACATTGGCACCGTGGGATTTCAATTATCAATTCTTTTATTAATTCCCTTTTCCTGGGGTTATAGAATAATTAAAGAGTTACAAGGTCATAAGTGCATTATGTCCGTAGAGATTTAGTTCAGACCCTAAACACTATGGTGTTAACTGAAAACAATATTGGAGCTATATGTATTTAATGAGCTTATGGCCTCCAGCTGGCTTTGTTAAGAAAATACTAATAGATAATGACTGTTTATGTTTTGGGATTAGTGGGTTAGCAGACTTGACTTCACTAATCTTAAATCCGTGTTATTTTAGCTATTTACCTTCACAGAGATTTATCAGAGGGTTCCATATTGAATTGAATTGCTGAAGCCACATAGACCTACAATTTCTTTTGACAATTATAAAACATGTTTTTAAAAGTATAATGAATTTATAACTTCAAGTCAATCAAAGTTTACCTGCCACTGTACATGTCAATTATTAAAGGGTACCTATTTCTATAGCAATTTTATATGTTAAAAAAACATTCCGCCAACATGAAAGACACAGGAGCAATCCTTACATTAAATGAAGCCATTAAAAATACAATTTGTCTAACAATTACTAACAACATAAATTCCAAGAATACTTCTTTTCTATACATAAATCCCCACCCCACCCTGGGATATTCCTCAAATTGTCCACAAAAATTCACCCCTAAAGGAATATAGACAGTATTTTGATGTCAAACAACATTTTGGATTATTTTGTGCAAATTTTTAATTATTTGACCAATAATTCTCTGATTTCTCCCTGATTTAACATAAGCTTATAAACCATTCTTTAACTGACATCTACTACAGTCCAGGTGTTTTGTGAGGGAGGAATTAAGTTTTCAATAATTTCTAATCAAAGGAAAAGCCATAATTACACATAAGTGTAACCTCATAAGAAATAAGATAATTGGTTGTGAATTTTATTACAGTTTCAATTTGTGATCCAGAGAGGGCTCACATCTGTTCTTTCTTTCCTCTATTCAAATCTGCAGGCATTTTTTTTATTTTTAACATTGAACATGTAAGGTATCCTTATTAATTGTGAATTACTTGTAGTCCACACAGAAATTATTAAATAGCATTACAAATATTATGATCATGCCAAACCTTTATAATTAGGTACTGAATTGCTTCTCAGCTTTCCAAAGAAAGATGAAAATTTATTTCAATATAGGCATTTAATTTTACAAATTTTTAGAATTTGGAAATGGGTAAAAGTACAAGATTTACCAAAAGTCTAGATCTTTCCAGAAAAATATTTTAAGCATTTTTGGTTACATGTCTAATACAGTTCTCAGAATCAGTCAATTAGCCAATCACCACAAGATTTGTATATTATGTTTAGAGATAAGCTTAAACCTGCCAAAGTTCTCTAAGCCTTGTAATAACATAATACAGATTAAGAATGTCACACCTCTTTTGTTTTTTGTTAATTCAGTCCAGACAAGTAACAATCTTACTCAAATTATTCTGTGTGGTAAGATAGGCTCCACCCCTTAACCCCCTAAGATCCTTTGATGTAAGTAGGTAGGAGTAATTAGGCTATTGTTTCTATGAGTTAAGAGGTATGGGTTGGTGCATGTCAAGAGTGGGAAGGGTTTTACTCAAGGTGTCAGGGAGGCTGTAAAAAGGCCAATTCTGGTGAAGCTTGGATCACTAAACAGGTGGACACTAGTCCTGTCAACACCATCTAGTATAGCACAGCAAGTGGAAACAGTTGGAAATGTACAGTTGACCTACCTGTGGAAATATTAAGGTATTAAGTTATTTTATAGATAAGTAACTAAGGAAACAATATCATGCTGTGAATTTTTATTGCTTTGGAATATGAATTGGAAATTGGTCAGTTGTTTGGGAATCAAAAAGGATCGTTTACAAGGACATTTATAATTGCTAAATTTAATGCTGGAATGAAATTGAGTGGGGATTTGACATCATTCTGCACCAATCTCATGCCAGTTCATTTAATTCTAGGATACCAACATGAGATACGATTTCTATAGTCATATATAAAGATGTGTATATTTATTGGACCGACATTGTGTTGGTATACGGTTTCTGAATTATCCTGCACCAACCTAATGCCAGTTCCAATAACTTATACCTTTTCGTCAATTATTAAACGATGCCAGATGATATGATTCAATTGTAAATTGGAATATAATTTCTGACTTTAACCAGTATCAAAAAATGATCTATGGACAAAAACCATAGCACTTTCTGATGCTGGGTCAAGTTAGACATCATGTATGCTTAAAATATTCAATCTTCTGGAAAAAACTTGGAATGCCATGCTGCTTGTATGAAAACATAATCTATTAGGCATTGCCAGTATCTACTGGATGCTAACTGTATGACATTTGTTAGCACTTGTCGATGCTGTGGCCTGGATAATAGAAACACATCATGGTCAACAAGATGGAAAGAATAAGAAACAATAATTATCTCTGGGACTGGGATCTACAATGTGAAATAGTAATATAATTATCACTAGCACTTGTAGATGCTGGTCCTAGAGATTAATCTAAAAGTTGAATTTAAATCTTAATTCATTGCCATCAATTAAACAATGGTGGTAAATATTCTTTAGATAGTAATTTGAAAATTGCAGTTCATAATAATGGCTGAAATCAATTCGTCACATTTAACATTGCCTTTGGCATTACTACTTTTTATTGTACTTGTTTGTAAAGTCTGGAATATTGTCCCTGGAATAATGTATTGTAAAAATAGAATTGACCAAATTAAAATGTAAATTTCTAATGCTGGTATTTATTTGTGCTGTAGTATATTGTATAACTAGCACTTATAGATGCTAGGCACTAGATATTACACTAATCTACTCTAGTAAATACTATGATGTCATTGATCTACCATGAGATAATAATGGTTTTACCAAAGGTCAAAACTTATATTTGTCTATTATGTAAATCATTGTCTATGTATTCTTATTGATAATATTAAATCACCTGGATTTTGATCACTGGTATCTGTTTGGGTGAAGGATTACATAAAACCTGCACCAAACATATGCCAGTTGACCAAGGTTTAAGAAGTAACCAATCTAATTTAGTCTCTTATAATATTTTAGTAAAAAAAATTTAATGGATTATAATCAATTTTAAATTGTGATGCCAAAATCTGACAGGTGTCAATCATCATTATGACAAGTGTGCCAATTATCATGAAGGCCTGATATATACCAGTGCATGTGTATATTGCCAACTAGCACTTGAATATGCCGGGCCTGCATTATAAATTTAACTTATAATATGTACAGATAAATGATCAATCAAGTTTTTGTCCTGTAGTTGTTTCCTAGTATTCATTGGTGCTAGTAATATATAACACTAGCACTTGTTAATGCCGGGGAGTAACTGTAGTAAAACAGCAGGGTAGTGAATTGGTATGGTTTATGTTATTATTGGTATTAATACTGATGATGTCTGTCTAACTGTTAATTTGTAGTATTTGTAATGTATCAGTCTTAACTAGAGCTTATGAATGCTAGGCATTATTATAGTAACTAAAAATCAAAATTTAACTGTTCATTCCTAGTATTTGTATTGTATTAGTGTAAATATATAACTAGCACTTACGAATGCTAGGCATGATTACAGTACATACACAACAAAATTTAGATTTTAGTTACTAGACACCCAAACGTTCAGTCCCAGTATTTATATTGTATTTGTGTAAATGTTAGGGATGATAACCAACAGCAAGGAGTCCAGACAGATTTTAACTGTCCATTCCTAGTATTTGTAATGTATTAGTGTAAATATATAACTAGCACTTACGAATGCTAGGCATGATAACAGTACATAAACAGCAACATTTTGGTTTTAGTTAATTAGGCCTTAGGACTGCAAATGGATATGACTATGTAAAACAAAACATTGTACCTGTAAGGGTTTTTAGAATTTCCTGTTGTTTGCCGGTTGATAGAATCTTTAAATATTTGTCGTCTGTAGATTTTTTCCTCCACTGTACCGCATGTTATCAGACGATATATAACAACATTTTTATCTTGTCCTATTCTAAACACTCGATCTACCGCTTGAGCATCTGTTGCTGGATTCCAACTTGGATCATCTAAAACAATTGACACATACATATAGAACAACAGAAAAACAGAACAATTTCTCCTCGTTAAATTTAATGAGCCTAATTAAACTTGATTTAAAGATTAGTAACACAAGAGCAGAAGGGGGTCAAGTGGCTTTTATAACTGATCCTAAGATTTGTAGCACCTTGTAAGATAACAAATTAAATGAAATCTGTAATAACTTACAGATAACAACTCTGTCTGCTGCTGTTAATGTTAATCCTACACCACCAACCTACAATATAATTGTTTCAATGGAATACAAGGGTGACAATTCTATGGAATATAATTACTGAGCGAACTAGGGTTTCTCGTCTTTATTCTACAGGTGTATATTTGCAATAATATATACATGATTACTGTTCAATATTCCAGAATAATCAGCAGATAAGATATTCAATCCCATACAACAAATGTATTCTTATTAAATAAGGTCAATTTTGGAATAATAAATCATATCAAGCCACATCACAATAACCTTTTTTTTTGTTCTTTGCCTTATAAAGCAAAGTGACATGAAATTCAGTTTTGACATTTCCAAGAGATTGGGTTAATTTTTAATGTCTCAGCTGGTTTCACAATTTTTTTTAGATTTCTACTTGATCTATGTGTGCATAAAATTCTAAGATAAAACAACAAGAACCTGTGTAGTAAGTAGAAATACTGTATATCTATCATCTGTTTGAAATTTCTGTATTCTCTGTTCTCTATCAGCTACATGTGTTACAGTTCCATCCAATCTCATAATCTTATGTCCCTACATTACAAAATTACTCATCAAATAAAATTACTGTTATATTAATTTGGATATTGAACAAAATTACCTGATATTAGGATATAGTGGCTATATCATCAAGTCAATCAGTAATGAAGTCTATAATTACATTATAGTATATATTATAGTGCCAGTATATATTAGGATATATGCCGGTTCTGGTCAGTGGCATTTCGTGATGAAATTCTAACTAAAAATTACGACATTTCCCTTGTCAGCCCACCAGGTACCAGGGGATTTCTTTCCTTTTTGAGTCATTATTCAAATCAAATATCTACTAAATTCTACTAAAATATCAGTTTAGATTTAGATAGAAAATATGGTGTTTGAAACAGTAGTGAAAACCTGGACAGCACACAAAATGTATTTAAATATTTGTGGTTCAAATGACCGACCGTTTTTCATTATAGATAATCGTGCTATATAGAGAACGCTAAAATCAAGAAACATAAGTTTGTTTTTCTTGGGTAAGGGAAACCAAATATCATCCCTGACAACATTATAGTCTAGTAGGCTTGTTACACATTTTATACTTTACATTAGTACATACCATGTTAATTCTATAATTATCTATAAATAATCCTTAGGTTCAACATAATATAAACCAGAAAATAACTTACTCTATTTGTAATAAGTTTTTGTATTATGTCTAACATTTTCCTTGACTGTGAAAATACCAAACACCGATGTCCTTCAGATTTGAGATTATCTAATAGTTCTATCAATACTATCAGTTTACCAGATTCCTGTATAAGTATATCATCAGCTACATATTGGATTTTTGTAGCTGCACTTTCTAAAGCTTCTGGAGCATCTAACATATCTTCATCTAATCTACAAACAAAGAAAAATAATACACGAATTAAAACATATAGATTACACATAGCTTCCATTAAACTAACTTGAAATTACTATTAAATTATGTTATATAACCTGACAAATGACTATTATTACATCACAACCTTTATCTATAAACAATGTCATTTCAACTTTATATAATAAAGTACATCCAATGTATACTGCATAGCAGTAGATATTAAGCTAGCAGAAACACTGAATCACAAGACCAGCTTTTACATGGTGAAGGTATTTTGACTGCGGGTGGACCTTGGGGTAATTTGGCATGAAAATTATCATTAATAGAAACAATACTTTTTAGAGTCTTACCCTTCATGACCATCTAAGCCCAACTGAGCACAAGCTCTAGTAGACAACAGACGTGGATGATCACAGATTTTCTTTAAAACAGTCAAAGCTACTAATGGAGATTTAGTTGTCATCAATAACTGAGGAAAAAAAAGGATTAAAATCATAACCATAATTGTAAGGAATATTTTCCATATACTACAGATGAACATGTAGAATTATTCCAGAAAAGTCCATTTTCAGGTGACATTTTAAAATTTCAAACATGCCAATCTATTTGAGGTTACACCCATTGAAACCCTAATTTCCACCTTAATTCTAATTGTCGATTCGACATCAATTCCACATCCATTTATACAATCTGAAAATGAATTTTAAAGTGCTTTTTTTCGTCTACTAATTTTGGCATAACTTAAATTTAATTTATATCTCTACCATTTACAGAATACTTGCTAAAAATAATGTTTGAACTATGGATCCGATCTTTTGATTGTCCCTGTGTAATTTTCTAGACTTAGAGTTGTGTTGCTCTAATTTCTGCATTCCCTTCCCTCCGTAATCAATATTAATAATTCACAACTCTTTGGTCATTAACTTTACGAGTAGAAAGTCTTACAGGCTCGCCTTCCACCTTCCGTTCCAACCAGTGATGGGAATTTACCCGTATATTCCGGACTTGTTCGAATCTTTTTTCGAAACGCCCAAAATTATTCGACCGGGAATATGCCCAATCGGACATCAAGACACGATGAATAATATTCAAATTCCAAAATTAATATAGTGTACTGAGTGTATAACTACCGTGCAACCCGATTATCGTTGATAATAGGCTGGATTGATTAGGTAATTAAGTGATCGACTATTTATCGTGTTTTATCGTTTTACACACCTACCTATTCTGCCTTGATTGGCTGAACTAATTCTTTATCAGACAATTCATCAAATCAATACTGAACAGAAGTCATTGCTTCTCCTTTGTCGGACGATATATAAATCCAATAAGAGTGATTAGAAACTTAATCTGATTAACCTGTGATTTCTCCATTGACCCACGTTTTAATCTCCTTTGTGTCGGACAATAACACGTAGAAATTAGTCATATATGTCACATATCCTGATAGTTTATAACACCTCAAATCAACATACATTGTATCCGATAACTTGTCTGTGATATATTTTCGGTGGAAGCCGAAGTTAAATAAAGATATTTCACACACATGGCGCTTATAGAGTTCAGTAATTAAAATGAAAGTACAAATCTCGTGAGACACGTGAAATTAAGAGATGTATACGTGCTGAATCCAATACGCCTGATGTTCGAGAAAAGATTCTATTTTTATAGCATATTATTGGATTTATGATCATATTTTGAAGGGGGTTTATGTCTTTAAATAAATAAACACGCTAAGAAATATTGACGAATATTTCGATTGGAATGACGTAAGTAGTTAATTGTTTTAGACGATAGCGCATGCTACAGTCGAATGCAATTATTTAGAAGTTGGTTACACTCGCGCATTAGGGCATCGTTAACTACGGTTTACGGCCAAATAAATTTTGGGATGTCATTTTTTTACCTTCCGTATATAAATCGAAATGGAGTATCAGACGAATGACCCGAAAAATACGGTAATTTTGGGGGAGTTTGAAACAGATCGGCAGCAGTCGGCACGCTGCCAATTCTATAGTATTACGATGTCATGTAATTTTGTAGGAATATTATTGACATAAATTTGAATACCGTTCAGGTTTTAAACATGAAATATAACGAGGTGCACCTATTTTTTTTTTACATATGAATTTGAATATATTTTGTTGACACATGATTCTTAATTGTGTTTTGAAAACGTCTGCTTAAATTACGGTAAGAGTTATGCCCCATTATTTTCAGGAAAAATGTCTGACATGAAATTTTTTGAAATCCCATCACTGGTTCCAACCATTCACACTTCCATACATTTTAAAGTCCTTTGCTGTCGACGTCTCGATCCACGATCTTAGCCATTGTGCGAAAGAACTGGAGACGATTACATACCATCATCGATATGGTACCATAGAGAAACTCTATGTTACGTACACAGTGACAGGCGATCTCGTTTAATCCTGCGTCAATCTACGATATTGTTAATGTATATATCGTCGACATGCGGTTAGCAGATTTTAAAGTAATGGAGAGATATTTTGGAATAAATGAGTAATAAATTCGTCAGGAAAAAATTAATGATATATTTATGATATTACACTTTTGAAACAATAGCTTGAACTAAAGCAGAACAATATCAGTAACAAGAGTGTTATCAAAAATCAGAACTGACCACAAAAAATCAGAACCGGACAGGCAAAATGCAGAAATCTACTTTAAAGCGGGAAAAAATCATGTCTGGTAACAAGTGTTTCAAAAAGTAAGCACACTGTTTTGTGCTCGACAGCCATCACAAAATGCAGATCATATAGTAAATTTAAAAATACCTCTTTTACATCATCTAACTCTAAGAAATCTTCATAGATTTTTTGCTGTGTTTGTGTAAGAAATAACCATATGACCAGTTCATTTTTACGAGTTAGTGTAGGCATACTGAAAATAACAAGTACTGGTACTATATGCATAGACAGTTAAATAAATTCCAAATTGCTGGAAGATAGATTGTTACTGATTTTACTATTCAAACAGTCAAAGTCATTTGAACCATATTCAAATATTGATTCAATTTAACTGATGACTATTTGGGTCATATTTTTTCTATATTTTGAATGTCTGTTAATTAGATTAACTCAATAATTCACAATACACTATTAGAGACAAAAAATGATCAAATTCTATTAAATCAAAATTGACATTAAACATTCAATAGCTAAAAATGAGTTGCAATAGCCTTGAAGAAGTACTTGAACAACTTTCAAAGGGTAAAGTATGTTCTACTTTTGCTCCGACAGAAAATCAATGTTCATTAACAGTAATCAAGATAAAATACCTTGCACAATCTTTAGTCCCTTCATCCATTTCACCGTGAACTAATTTTTTCCTTGTTACTTCCGCTTTTGTTCTCCGTAAAAAGTATGGGGAAATAATTTTCTTTAGAGCTTCAGACATTTCCGATCCCAAACGTTTCTCATAAACTGTGGCATCTTTTTCTCTTGACTGAAAAAAATACACACATATAGAATAATCTCAACACTCCATACAAGTTAAATTAGTGTTATTTATAATATATACACTGAATCAATGTATACACCTACATTGTGTCTTATTTTTTTTACCAGATTGTGTCCACTCAACAAATTATGATAACAATTTTATTTCAATAATTCTTAATAGGTGTCTTTTGTTGTGGGAGGAAACGTAAGACAATTGGTTGTAGTGTATATGACAGTCAAACAGGTCCACTGGCACTGATTGTCTCAAATTAATTAACTCTTGATTCTGATTAAATTAAATTTCAAAACAGTCTGTAATTAATTTGTAAATAAATGAAAAAGTTTAAAGTATCATTGGAGCAAAAATAAAATAGGTATAATAAAACTTGAGCAAACAGAGTGATATGTAAGACAACTCCCAAAGATGTGACCAAATGAATTCGGATCAACCCCTATTGTTCTATGAAATCATGTTTCATTGAAAATGTCATCATTGTTGATGAGTCTGCAAATACATTGGAAATACAATCACATTTATTTTGCATTCTGTGAAAAAATTAATCATTCCTAATATTTACCCTTGTAATAGGTGTATCAAATTCCATTTTAAAAGTTCTAGCAGTTCCCAGTAAAGTACCATGATGGGCAAAGTCAAACAGTGACCACAGTTCCTGAAATAAATAATACAAAATTCAAATTCTTTTGTCAAATTCTAGCTTTTTTTTCCCATTTTTTAAGAAACACACAAAATCATTATAAATTTTGTATTTATTTAACTCCTTATAAGAAAAACAGAAAATAAGTAAGAATTTGAAATAACGGACAAATAATTCTATCCACATTGAACATGTATTATGCAAGAGCTAAATCTGCCTATCACATGCCTTTCTTTTGGCCTGAAATGTTATCTAAATTGTTAATTAGACATTAATTAACTTATCCAGACCATGTTATCCTGTGATATTTAGTACATTTGAATACATTTTGTGATGGATAATTTAATGTAAAGATGGGTTGTCAGGCAACGAAACATACGCCCACAGCAGCTAAGTTGTCCGGGCAGTCAACAAGTGTTTTGTCAGTAATGAGATCATTTACAACACAGGAAAATCTGATTACGACTAATAACCTATGAAGTAATTATAAAAAAGCTTTAAAATTTGTTTCTATTGTTTGTCTCATGACCTTTAACAATTTATATTAACTTCAGCCTCTAGAGTGAATGAATGAAGGAAATGGAGTTTTAGCCTCTAGAGTGAATGAATGAAGGAAATGGGGTTTTAGCCTCTAGAGTGTCCTCAAGATTTTTCAAAGTGATCAAAGGTCTTAACTCTGGCAGAAATTATCAGAAATTGTTGAAAATGAATAGGATTCTTTGTTTCATGACCTTAAACACTGTGTATAAGTTTAAAATATATCAGATATTAACCTCAGCCTCAAGAGCTTCTACAAGATTTTTCACCGACAGGAATTATGAAGAATAGTTGAAAATCAATAGGCTTCTTCTTCTCATGACCTTAAACAGTTCGTATAAATTTAAAGTCAATCGGATATTAACTTTAGCCTCTAGAGTGTCCACAACATATTTCAAAGTGAATAAATTTAAAGTCAATTGGATATTAACTTTAGCCTCTAGAGCGTCTAGAAGATATTTCGAAGAGTTCAAGGGATATAACTCTGGCAGTAACTATTGCTGAAAATCAATAGGCTTCTTCGTCTCATGACCATAAACAGTGTGTATAAATTAAAGGTCAATCGGATATTAACTTTAGCCGCTTCAGTGTCCACAAGATATTTCAAAGTGATCAAGGGACATAAGTCTGGCAGTAATTATCGGAAATTGTTGAAAATCAATGACCTAAAATCAAAGCGGGTCATGACCTAAAACACTGTGTATAAATTAAAAGTCAATCGGATATTGCCTTTAGCCTCTAGAGGGTCAACAAGATATTTCAAAGAGATAAAGGGCCATAACTCTCGCAGTAACTATCGAAAATCGCTGAAGATCAATAGGCTTCTTTGTTTCTCCTGGACCTAAACACTGTGTATAAATGGATATAAATTTTAGCCTCTAGAGTGTTCACAAGCAATTGTGGACACCGGACGGACACATTTAAATGTGGGCATATAAAAGTGACTAGTCGAGACATGGTTTATTATCACACTAAAGTTAGTAATGATGTTTGAGGCTAGTCTAAAATTGAATTGCTAATATCTTGGTTCAGAGTGATGCAATTTGACTGAAATTTTCAGCATATTTTGTTTCCATTATCTTTTTTTAGCTATTATAGCGAGAATTGTCAGCTCTTTATCTAATCTTACCTAATGCCCCTTTAACTCCTGGGAAAATGTTTTCGAATTTTCCGCTTTATATTTTGGCAACCATGACACGGTTTCGATACAATACTCATTGTTAAAGCACAGGAAAAATAAGGCATTTTGATCGTAAAAAACGACAGACGGACAGCAAAATTGCCGCATATTTGCGAAAAAATAAATTAACATTTGATTATCCAGTGCCATTCTTGATTGTCAAGTGTTTCCCATGGTTACGCACTTAACCCCTTAACTGTGTAATTAATTTGACGTTAACTACCCCCTATTGCGTAATTAATATGACGAAAAACGTCATATTTGGGCCTATTTTTTCCTGAATACAAATTTGAGTGGTCTTAAACCAAAATAAAACTAACAGTAAATAGAGTTGTCTCCCTTAATTAGATTCATTGACCAGGCGTAATAAAACGTCTTTTCTGCGGGGTAAGATTGTGTTCTAAGAATAGGTTGGGGAAAATACCTTCAGGGCGTTATATTACGTCCTACACACGGTGAGTGGCAGTCGTCCAGGACGTTATATAACGTCCTACGCAGTTAAGGGGTTAATAGACGAGTCTAGTGTTCATTTCTTGTTATGAAGAAACGATCAGTAAAGTTATTTCCCTTGATCGCAGGAAATATGAATGAGCAGAAATTATTGACTTTGTTTTTATTTTTTTTAAAAAACATGTGATGTGGTCCATCTATTATGATGCGGCCATATCTGAGAACCAGAATATTTTTTTCTTTGTGTGGCCTAATTATGCAACTGCCTACCTTGAGATTATTTTGTATTGGAGTTCCCGTTAATATCAATCTGTTTTTAGCAGGTATGTTATGCACACCTTTCGTTGTTTTAGTTGGGTTTTTAATTTTATGTCCTTCGTCCAATATCATATAATCCTGAAAAAGAAATGTGAAAATAAATAAAGCAGACAAGCTGGAATTTGAAAACTAATTTATTTGCCCTACCTTTGCATTCAGATGACAAAGTTTTAAGGTACCGTAGCTTAATGAACAGAGGTTCTTTGAGAGAAAAAAAAAAAAAAAAAAAAATACAGAAACCATGTCCAAATAATTCATCTAGTAAATCAAAATTGTAGTTTGAGTTAAAAATCTGGGTTGTTTTCATGGCCCCCAGTCATGAGATATTACTCCTGTAAAAGTACTGATGGATGCTGTGCATTAGACAGACTTATCTTAATTTTTTAAATAGCTATAAATTAAAAGCAGATTGTCTGCGATATCACCTCGGTGGAAGCGGACGTAAAACACAACTAACAAGTAGTAGTAGGTAATACCAGCTTGTCATTTCTCTTTGGCCATGTCTTATATTCAGTTTATTCCTTAGTTTTTGGGATATCACCATATGAAGATACATTGAGCCATGTTAATAAAATAAACAAACAAGAAGCCATCCACATGATTAAAACAGAATTCTGACAATTACTTAGTAGCTTTCAAACTCTCACGTTCAACAGATTCCCAATATATTAATATGGTAGAAGGTAAATGGTATTATTTTGATTCATTATAAATTTGATACTGTGGAGACATGTTTTTATCTATTGTCTCAAGCTCCTATATCAATTACAATTCTGTTGTTGTGTCATCCATATTTTGATATCCTGGCAGAGATAACTAATCATCAATTTCATCTTGACATAACTATGTCCTGACACCTAAAACCTCTAAATAGTGCTGATTACTGAATGAATGAAATGGGGAATTAAAGTCCTACTTTTTTGCACCAACCAGACAAATGAACGAAATTTCTCGAGCACTGGGATTAAACCTGGGACCAACAGGTTTGTGAGCTAGCGCCTACCTCACTGAGCCGCCACGGCTCACTATCTGGATGATAGCACATTGACTGTTATTTGACATCATAGACATGAAAAATTGATACAGCATTGAATGAAAGATACCTATCATGTGCATTAGTTACTACATACCCAGACAAATTCTCTTCCATCCTTTTGACCAAGTTGTTCCCAGCTTGTAACAACCATACCATAAGTTGTTATACATACGCCCCCTCTTCTCTGTACTTTAGTTAAAGATCTCTCTCTTTCTCTTTTACTAGAACCATGATAGGCCGTTACATTAATACCAGGAGCCCTGGAAAAAAAATTAAACATTTTTAGTAAGATATTTGAGTGAACACTATAGCATTTTAGATGCAGCACTAATATAATAAAAGACAGTTTCATATTCAAAAACAGTTGACTGGAATAAGTAATGTACCGAGATGGATTTACTTGTCATTTCATTGAACTCTTCGAGTGTCTAGGTAATGTGTAGTCTAACACTATAAATATTGCTTTATCTTAAATAAAGGAAAATTGTTGTGTTCTAGCAATACATGAATCACCCATTCCAAAAAAAGGGCGTGTCGCTGTTGCATTGTGGGAGATCGGTGAGCAAAGTCATTCGTAGGCCGCCATTACTTTGCATTGAATTTCTCTGACCAAATTTCGAAAAACGCTGATTTTACGTTAATTTTAGTGATGGGGAATATTTCATATGATGTGATAGAGACACAGATGGTTGATGCACGTAAAGAATACCTCAGAAAGCACATCTGAAGTATACAGATCGCAAAAAGGTAAAATTAAAACTTCAAAACAAACAGCTGTCAAAACTTAACCATACAACAAGACTAATAATAGTAATTAATTTTAAAATATATAAATGAATAATATTGAACGTAATAAACATGTTTTTTATTAAGCATTGTTAATGTACCCTGTGCTATTTATTTCTATGCAACACTATACACTCACAGTTTGAGTATTGACCTGCTAAAAGTGACAGCGATCAGCTGATTGATAGGAAGGTTAAGTTGGCGTTTTTCGAAATTTGGTCAGAGAAATTCAATGCAAAGTAATGGCGGCCTACTAGTGACTTTGCTCACCGATCTCCCACAATGCAACATCGACACGCCCTTTTTTTGGAATGGGTGATTCATGTATAGACATGTTAAACAACCAAGTAGACCCAACACAAAGTTTCATGAATAATTAAACAGGAAAGGTATGTTTCCCTCTCAGATGAATTTTGCCACGCTTAATATTCAAAATGTATTGCACTTGACACAAATTTAATAATTTTTCTTTATTATGAAAAAAAGATTAATGTGCAAACAGATTTAATTAAGATAAAACAAAATTTATAGTGTAAGACTACACAGTACCTAGATACTAGAAGGGTGTAACAAATTTTTTCTATACATTCTAATCAATCTCAGTACATGGCCTATGTCATATGACATTTTTATTACACATAAGGCCAAAACAAATAAAAGGGTTGTATCTTGTAAGATGGAAAATAGGGTAGGATCGGTAGGTAGGGTTGTTCAATTTCATGTTAGCCAGTTAGGTTGAGTCGGCCTCGTGAAACAACAAGCACAAATAGATTGGTGGATGGAGTTCTTGGATAATTGTTTAAAATGTATCAGAGGCTAGATTATGATTTAAATATTCTCTTTGGGGGCAAATGAACTTTTTAATCATTCTATGCTTAAAAAAAAATAGCGTAGCGAGACCATTTTGTTCAAGGGAAAGAACTCTTGATGAAGACTTTAAAAAATCATATCGTGCCAAGAAAGAGGCTCGTAATAAATTTACTTGTCTTGTTTTTGTCCAATTGCAAGCCGTTAATTATTAGAACTAAAGTTGTGAGGAATATAGCTTTTCAGAATGTGCAGTGGTAAATCTATATGAAACCTGTAATCTCAATTTTCACGTTAGTTAGCAATCTCGCGTCAACAGTATGCCAGTTTTTAATAATCATTCGCTGTACCCACCTATTCTGATCGGTAAATGCAGATTCAAAGAATGATGATGTTTATATTCATTCATAACAAAAAATAATATAGGCATTTTCACAAATCTGGTAGGCTTAGAGTATTCTGAACGGTCAGTCAGTGAACAAAAGTTTTTTATTTCTCTTGAAACTAAGAGTCAGCAGGTTTTGTAATGGGTCAGTCGGGTTACCGGAAACAGAACATTCTTCTTTTATGGCCAAACACAAATACTATAGGGCAAATACTTACCATTTATTGAATTCATTTTCCCAATTAACTACCAAGGCAACTGGCATCACTATAAGAATGTGATTTACACGTTCCATATCAAACATTCCAGAGAGAAATGCTATTACTTGAATGGTTTTACCTAATCTAAAATTAAACAAAAATTTAAATGATTAAATATTTTCCGTCAGTGCTGGATTATGATGAAGTAAAATCATTTGGAATAATTTAAACATTTTATGACGAACAAAGGTAAAGTTTGATCTACTGTATTTCAGTTTTGAAGATAACCCACTGTTCAAAGTAAGTTACATCACTCGATCATTTCAACACAACTGGTCTACTTAAAATCTGATAATGTTAACAAATGAAGGTAATCACTGGATATCAAAGACTTTAAAACAGAGCTAATCTTAACTTAACTTTTTTTGCAAATAGCTTGTGGGTTTTTTTTAATCAGGATATTGACATACTCAATATCTGTGCAATATTTTTGCATATCTGAAAATTTTGAAGGATTCTGATGTTTAGTTCTGCGACTATCTTTGTGTGAATCAGATTCTGATTTTCTTATTAGCTCTGAATAGAGTTTTCAATGTAAGAAATAATATATAAATATATTCTAATCTTACCCCATATCATCTCCTAATATTCCCCCTTTTTTCCTTTTATGTAATGTCCACATCCATAGTATACCTTCCTTCTGATGAGTATATAGCCTATTATATAAATCTTTATATAGATAGAAACCATTACCAACTTGTAATAATCCAGATACCTCCTCCTCTTCTTCCTCTTCTCCTGAATCTTCTCCATATTCTTTTAAATAAGCCTACAAAATAACACATTTTTAAGCAATCGCAAACCTAATCACAATGAACAAGATTTCGCTTTATAAAGGTGCAAAACATAGGACAAATATAATGAAACTGTTCCTCCAAATACTAGGGTAAACTCCCAAAACTGAACACTTGAAAAAGCCAATTTCTTTGGTTTTAACTGGTGTAACTAGCTGGCGAGCACATTGTGATTGTTAGTGAAAGATTACAATACTAATAACTACAGTACAGTAAATGTTGAGCACTGATAATACAACGGATCTCTTATGCACAAACCAATATGTACAAAGGTGACAATTGGTTTTTCATCAACAACCTATCAATCTTATCAACTAAGCACCACATTACCACCAACAAGTTGGAACCATGCCTGAAAAAATACCTGTAGATTCTTCTAGGCCCATGTATGGAATGGAACTGCAGTTATAATTACTCATAAATAGATCTTCAATTTATAAATACTTTAGCAAATATTCAATCTGATTAAAATACAGATCTATATTGCATTTTTTTTTTTTTTATACTTTCGATGGCCTCTACTTCATGAAGATCTCACTGATTGTAGTGGAAGGTTGCGTCAGTGGACATACAAGCAGCTTTTGACCCTATGACGTCAGACATGCGATTAACCAATCTGCACTAATGTTTCTAGTAGGTTTCGTTTTTTTATACTTCTGATGGCCTGTACTACATGAAGATCTGACAGGTTGTAGTGGAAGGTCACATCAGAGGACATACGAGCAGCTTTTGACGTCAGACATGTGATTAACCAGTCAGTGCTGATATTTCTATTAGGTTACCTACAATTCCGTGCACCTCACGCCAAAGACTCACTGTAACAGACTGTTTCATTAGCTAATCCCTTGCATCATCCAGAACGTGGGTTATATAACAACTCTTCCAAATGCCAGTGTAGTAAAGACAAAATTTTAAACTATAAAAAACGCAACGAAATAGGATCTGTGTTTTAATCAGATTGGAAAATATTATGATCATCGTGTATTCAGTGGAAATGGTATGTTTGTATGTACCTCCATCTTAGCAATTTTTTTAGCTAATTTTTCTGAATAACAGATTTTCAAGGCTTCCTTATTCATTTCCATGGCATTGCGTACTTGTCCTTCTCCAGTGTATTTTTTAGCTTTAGTGATGAGTTTGTTGTATTTTTCCTGGCTGTCTTTATCAGGTAGAGATTCTTTTCCCTCGAGCACTTTTGTTGTATTTGTTAAATCTGAAAAAGCCAGATAAGCCCTCTTTTTTTATGAAAATTATGTGTCATGACAATTGGAATTACAATGTATTATAGTCTAGTTAACATGTGATTTTTCGTACAATCAGGGCCATAATTCAGGAAGTTACAATCTAATAGCGCAAATATCGAAAGGAATTTAAAAGATCTTTGGGCTATAAACATGCATTTCAAGTTTCATCAAAATCAGATGAAAATTGTGACCTCTATAGAGTGTCCACAAGCTAAAAACGTGACTTTTTGTACAATTAGGGGCCATAATCCATGAAGTTATGGTCTGATACATTGAAAGGAACCAAGATCTTTGGGAGATAGACCTATATTTCAAGTTCCGTCAAAATCGGATAAAAATTCTGACTTGTAATTGTGCACAAGCAAATTGTGGACGGATGGATGTCCATCCGCACGAAGGCATAATACGTCTACATGAAAATGTGGGCGTATAAAAATCTAACCCACCCAAAAGTTAAACATTTCCTCTATGCACAGACTTTATTGGTTAATGTTTTAAAATTCTATGCTATGTGTGTATTACCGTACAGCTTCACAATAAAATAAATGCCATAAAATATACACACTATAAAGTATAATACAATTTTGTTGATTTAGACAATAATCTGAATTGCAATATGACATTTTTTTTATTCATATGGAATGAACATTTTTATGAGAAATACGGTGTCCATTATCAATCTTTCTTTCAAAATGAAAATTAATAGGCATATGAACTACACATACCAGACAGCGGTGTTTTCTCTTCAAGACTGATATGTGCTAATTTCACACTGGTATTTAAAATATTTTCATCCATTTTGAAAGCCCAGTTTTCCTTTTCAAGTCCAAATACAATGCTAGTAATTTCTCTTTTTATGCAGATCTTGATTCTTCTGTTTTTATGTTGCAATCCTGTAAATATAACAATCAGATATTTACATTACATTCTTAATTTAGTAAACAAATTAAATCTACAGAATGAGGTCTGAAAACAACATTATTGCAATATTGCAATGTTACATATTTCTAGGGGAGAGAAAGAGAAATGAGGTTTAACAACCACTGGACATAATCTTGGTCATATCGGGACTAAAATAAGGTAAAATTTTATTTCAATAATTTGCATGTGTCCAGCAGTATTTCGAAGTGGAAGGAATTTGGAGGAGCTATATAGAAAACCCATAAGGTTCTGCAGACAGATTTCTGGAGTGGGATTTACAGTCAGCCATTGCTTAAAATGTATTAGGCCTAAGTATTTTACACTGGAGAAGATGTGGAAAAGCTGGAGCCTGGATGGTATCTGTGGCTGATTGGGACCTGGCTAACTAAGACCAAATTCAGGGCTGACTGGGAACACATGCTTGGCTGTCTAGGACCATTACTTCAGTGACAAGAGTATCTAAAATATGTATAGGCCTACTTATAATAACCAAATTGTTTTCATAATAGACTAAATTTTTCATTATACTTCAACTAGTTCCAGATTACCGACATTGGAATTTTTTACTTAATTATATTCATGGCATAAAATCATAACTGGTTACGAGAAGCAATAACTTTGAATGCTGGTCGTATGAGACTTAGGCTGAGAGAATGTGAGAGTAGGCAGTAGCGATATTATTAAATGTCTTTGCTATTTAACGAAAATCTCTCCTGAATTTACCCAAAACTATTATTAAAACATCTTTTTTTAAGGTCCATGATAGTCTTCTAGGTCAATCCCATTTCTTTAATTTCTTAGTTAATAAATGTCTAAAATTTCGGTTTTGATTCTTTTTTATCACTTGATCCAGATCAGCCATAAAGGGGGGTCCCTGTAAACCAAGAATGTGATCCCAATAATAAGTCACAATTAAACTTGCATTATGCAAGAGCTAAATCTGTCTATTGCAGGTCTTTCTTTAGGCCTGAAATGTTATCTAAATTATTAATTAGACATTAATTAACTTATCCAGACCATAATCAACTCTAGATGGCATCGCTAGCCTGCGATCTTAAGTGGACTGTGAGCCGATTTACTGCCTAACTTTCCTTTTCGATTAAACGATTAAATGGATAATCGAGACTATGCTGTTTATCGTACTGACTTTAGTAATGATGACCGAGGCTAGGCAGAAATTTCATTCGCTTAGTTCTCGGTTCATAGTGGATCAATTTGAATGAAATTTTCAGCAAATTGCCTTTACGTTATCTACTGTCTGAACCGTGGTAAATTATAAACGGATTTCTTCGATTGTGAACAAACTACTGAATAATTGTTATTAAAAACTTGCCTATGTGTTTGAAATCACTTCCGGTTGAATAAAATCTATGGCACAATTAAATATCCCAATGAAAAAAAAGTTCTCTCTTGAAAAGTCAATGTTTTTGCTTGTATTTTCGACAGTCTCCATCACAACATTGCACTTGTCACGTGGTGAGCTAACCCATCGTAATATTTTGAAGGGGGGTATAGATTGACAAATTTTGACAATCACGTGTGTTGCTATCAAAGCAGCACACGACCCTTTCGATCGTTTGAGTTTGGGCAACAAGATTAGCAACTGAAGACAATAATATTAATTTGGAAACAACTAATTGATTGTCAGTCTACTAAATTTTATTCACAATGAATATATCACCGATTACACGTATACTCGTAAATATAATATTGCGTTCACATAATCATCGACCCATAATTGAAAATACCTTGCATGTTATGTATATTTTATAAATTACCCGGTATATTAAATCCCTGCCAATTATAGGCAACTTTGTGGCTAACATTTACAAATAAACACACTTTATTTCATAATTTTAATTGATCATATTTCAAAACAGGGTCTAATCCCAATGCTCTGTGGTTATTATAGTCCATTTACAAAGTTTTATGATTACCCGGTACCACAAAAAAATATGAAAAAAGGCCACCGCTTGTCAATAATTTCCATATTTAATCCACGTTCCGAATGTTCAGGTCAATAATATTCCTGATTAAATTAATCTTTTTTGTTTATTCGAAGATACTAAAATCGAAACATTCTTGATAAGAACAGTTCGGGGTACACTAAATATCGTTTGTTGTCTTTATAAAAATGTTTTTAAAACGAAAAGAATCACTCGTCAAAAGAGGCATCGCAAATTGCATGTATTATTGTGTCTTGTGTGTTAATTATGCAGACAGTTGGAAAAACTTGTGAAAGTTTCGCGCTAAATTTAACCATTTTCACTGCATCTGTGTAGCATACAATAACTCATGGCATGGTACCTTTTACAGTAATAGAATTCAAAGTCAAAGTGTTCATTGGCTAAGGTATGATCGCGATCTACAAAATGTCATCAGGAAATAGTAAAGATATTTAAGTTTAAGGGCGAGATTCAAAACCCGTAAAACGAATGTCGTTCTATTTTTTCTGAACCTTTGTTTAAAAGAAATAATCCCACAAGCTCTCTAACCAAATAATTAATACAAGACGAAAACTCATTACTGGGTCCGAGAGCAATAGCTTGAATACACAAATTTGAATTGTCGTATAAAGAGCCAAACACTAGCTGTTACGATAAACAAGTCTGCTTCGACCCCTTGTACGAAATGATCTATCCCGATAAGTGACGTAATTAGCTTGCATGTTTGTATTTTTCGATGTCCAAGTTTGTGACCAGTTCAATTTTACAAGAGAGAACTTATTTATTCGATGGGATATTTAGCTGTACAATGGATTTTATTTAACCGGGGGCAATTTCAAACACATAGGTGAGATCATAATAACCAAAGTTAAGTAGTTTGTTCATAATCGAAGAAATCCGTTTTTAAAATAGGAAGGTCCAGACAGTAGTTTTTAATTATTATAGTGAGAACTGCCAACTCGTTATCGAATCTCCCATAATGTATCTTTAATGCACATGTGACATGTGGTCCCAATCAAATGAAATTGTATTCGCCAGTGTGAGTGTAGCCAGGCCTACCGTAATAATTCAAAAAAATAAAATTATGGATACGTTCAATGATTCATTAGGTCTAGACTAAAAGCCAAGAAACATGTCTGGTGTGTTGGAGGTTTCCTGCTTGATGTCAATTCCTTTTATTTTTAAATAGATGTGAATCAATCGATGGAGTGTGACACAGGCCTCCCCCTAAACACCTTCCAAATTTAAATACGCCCACTTTCACTTTGGTTGGTAGTCAGGCTAGAACATAAACAAGTTATGAATGCATTATATATCTTAGCACTAATTCAGAATGAAAGAATATAAAAACTAAAACAGATAACAATGTGGTAGCATCTACGTTTCTATATTATAATATAGAGCGAAGCTCTAAAGCATCGCGCGAAGCGCGGTGCTTGAGCAAAGCTCTTTTCCGGTAACACAGGAGCGTAATTGAAAATGTCACCCACAGACTGTTGATTAAAAAAAAATTCAGACAGGAACCGGATACACTGGGGAAAACAGGCAATGCGCATGTCTGTCAATGCGCATGTCAGCGCATGTCAACTTACCAAATCTCGCTTGGGTCTCTAAGAAATATTTCTATGACGCGTCGAATAAATGACGTCAGATAATTTTGACGTCAATGAAAATCCTCACACCTTTTTGTTATTTTTTCAATTGGGGAAACTTTATTATGAAGGTTTTATTTGACAACAATCACATCAGCTTCGCTCTACTCAGGCAAGGCCTGTTACATATTATAATTATAGACCTGATTGGAAATAAAGCTAGAAGCCATACACAAAAGCGACCATTTTGAATAGTGCGCCAAGTTCTGTCACGTGTGTAATGTCAAAATTATCCAAATTAGTTTTGTCGGGTTAGACGAAACAAAAAAAGAAAAGCAACTAAATAAAACAATATTTGTTAAAAATATAAAAACCACAGAGAATGAAATTGAAATCAAAACTACTATTTTAACGGCAATTAATATTCTTCGATTCCATGCTTATTTTTTTTTTATTTACGCAGTTGTTCTTTTATTTCGTATTGTTCTGCAGACTTTGTGATTCATGAATTTATGTCGACATTACCGGAAGTAAGGTAAAAGTAGACAAGCCGAAGAACGTGCAATTTGGAAATCACTAATTTTTATTATTTATTTTAGGCCTAGGCCTATAGTTCTTGAATTTATAGAAATGAATATCTTATTGCAACTGCAAAATACGTCAAAAGGGAAACTACCTTATAACAACAAGAAAGAAACATTGGAACAAAGAAAGGTAAAGAATATTATTTTTTTGTCGATAAGCTTTGTTGTTATTTCCTGAAAGTCGCACATCTTAGCATTGTAACAACACCAAGTTTATCAAAATCGGAGCAGAATCGGAGTTACTGTCCGTTTATTAACGCCAACTGACAGACTCCCTTTTCGCGAAACTGGCCATTTTCATGACATTTTGTTTCTATTTATTTTCAACCCCACTCCGTTGTCAGAAACGAAAAGTTTCTGGCCTACTGTCTGATTCATCGTAAATTTTAAACGGATTTCTTCGATTATGAACAAACTACTTAACTTTGGTTATTATAAACTTACCTGTGTGTTTGTAATGAACTCCCGTTCGATAAAATCCATTGCACAACTAATTATCACAACGATGAGAACAATTTCTCTCTTGAAAAATTTGAAAATTTACTTGTAATTTCGACAGAGTCGATGTCAACAATGTCTTCGTGACGTAATGGTCGAATCCAATATACCTGTTGCGGGGGTTGGTTAACATTGAAAGATAGTTTGACAGCGCGATCATTTTGATCGTATATGGGTTTGGGCGACGAAAAATATCAATTGAAGGCAATTACATAGGAGATTTATATGGAAACCATTGATCGCCAGTCTATCAAATTTTCTTCACAATTAAAATATCACTGATTGCACGGATACTCGTAAAAATAAAGTCATGAATAAACTATAAATATCCTATCTTCTTTATGTTATAAATAATTTAACAAGGATCATGAAGCTTACCTCCGAATTCTCTGAGTGTATTTTTAATTTTATACGCATTCTTTCGATCGAATAATAACCGCTTCAGTAACATCTTTAAGCGTGTTGCGGCAGCCCCCAATTGCCGTATTGGGTGCCCGGGTGGGTATATAATGCTACGAAGCCCGTATGACCCCGTAAGAAGCGGAACATTAATTCTCGATTCGACAGTTTTGACCGAAGTGTGATAAAGCCCGTAAAACGAATGTATAGTTGTGTTTGTGCGGCATGCATGTTCAAAAGTAAATAATCCCATCTGAGTCGCTAATCAAATAATTAGAACAAAATATTTCAAAAAGTAAAGCTATAAAATTTGCAGAGATTTTACTAGAATGTAAAAGACGGTAACTAAATACAGGAATGCGGGTAGTTATGTGTGCGAACGCTCAAACTCAATACTCAATGCCAATTGTCGTAGGTATCCAGACCACTCGGACCAAAGACTACTCGGATTAAGACCAGTCGGACCAAAACAAGACCAGTCGGACCAATTAAATTATATTATAAGGCTAGACAATATGCTATTTATTTATTATTAAATCACAATACAAAGAAGCAAATAATTCTTATACGGAATTCTTATATTTAGAGTTGTTTGGTTCAATTTTGTGTACGGAAAATAAATCAACGATTAGTTTTAAAATTAATTAAAAATGGTGCCAAAAAAAAATATCAATCTAATTTTTCTTTACTCTTGCAATGAGACTCGGTATGTCCAGACTTTTGACAGTTTCTACATATACGGGTATACTGTTCTTGTCTGATAGCCTAATTTTACTTTTTCCACATTCGCGGTATCCCCAGTGGTTTCATTCCGTTCTACCCCACTAACCCCTGGGTTACTATATATGGGGGGGGGGGGTGGAGACACGTTTTCAAGTTATCCTCCCTTGATGCGTTAATATAAACAGCACATAATAATACGAAGACCGGACGTTTATATGCCCCTTTTTAAACGTGACTACAAGTGTGGTTCTCGATATTTTGCGATTTGGAATACAATTATCAATTTATTCAAACAACACGTTATTATTAGTTCGAGTAGTCATATTAAAACACACACAATTATCAATTTATTCAAAAAACACTTTATTATTGGTTCGAGTAGTCATATTAAAATAAACACAATTATCAATTTATTAAAATAACACTTTATTATTGGTTCGAGTAATTATATTAAAACAAACGCAATTATCAATTTATTAAAACAACATTTTATTATTGGTCCGAGTCGTCTTTCTGTTGGGTCCGAATAGTCTTTTTGTATGGTCCGAGTAGTCTATTTGTTTGGGCTGAGTGGTCTATCAGTTGGTCCGACTGGTCTTGAACCGAGTGGTCTTTGGTCCGAGTGGTCATGGATTCTTGTCGTAATTGTACTTGAATTTCCTATGCTGTCACCCCTAATACGAAATGATATCTTCCGCAGAGTGACGTAACCATCTTCCATATTGGTATTTTTCTCTGGGAAAAGTTTGTGATATTTCAATTTTTCAAGAGAGAACTTGTTTTCATCGTTGTGATAATTAGTTGTGCAATGGATTTTATCGAACGGGAGTTCATTACAAACACACAGGTAAGTTTATAATAACCAACGTTAAGTAGTTTGTTCATAATCGAAGAAATCCGTTTAAAATTTACGATGAATCAGACAGTAACTCCCTTACCTTAATTTCCAATTACAAACTGTATACTGCACATGTGACATAGCTTAACATAAAATAAATTAATTCCCATTGAAATAAAGGTGAACCCTTACACATAATTATATGATTTGATAAAACCCAACTGCAACGTGAATTGTCTGTTCATTTTAAAATGGCTACTGAACCAGAATTAGACCACACAAACAGATTTCATGGCACCTTGAAAATACAGAAAATCTATTTGATTAAGATAAGATTAAGATTTCAGTGTTCCACTCTCACTATTTGTGTAACAAAATTACTTATTTCCATGCAAACTGTGTCAATATGTGTTGAAAATTTATCGGATGATAGGTGCTGATGAAATTAGGAATTTATATTGTTATGAACAGTTAATAACTCATAGTCTCGATCATACTTTATTTATTCATACAACAAATAGTTAAAGGCTCAATACCTCTCTTGTTGTAACTCAATAATATGTCCCAATCCTTATTCTGGTCAACAAATTGTACTATTTTAGAATATTTCAATTAATTGATGATACAAATTTCATCTTAACACACCTTATTAAGCCTTATTTAAAAATTTTGAAAAATTCAACATAATGGTTTGAAACGTCTATCGTAAACCTTTTCAAATGAAACTTCGATTTAAAAATATTTTCGAACCCTCTGGACAAGTAAAATAGGATGTAATGGATAATTTACACAACAGGTAGGACACTTAAACATCTAGTACTTAGATAGAGATATTATTTATTTTCTGGAGCTTTCAAGCGAGCAAGAGTGTTATTGTCCCTTTAAGTTCTCAATGGGTGGTGTGTATTTTAAATCTGCAGGAAGTGTGGCCCAATTATTCATTCCTTAAACATTGTGTTCGTGTTTGATTTCTGAGATAAAATAGCACCTTGCTTTCCCCTTAGGATATGTATCTACCCCAAGTATCATGACATTAGAGGCTTTTTAATGGGCAACAATTTTTATATCCGTGACAAATCAAAACCAATTTCGTCGAACAAACGAAAACAGTCCTGGTTCACATAAGATATTAGTCAACGGAATAGATCTTGATAGCCTTTGTGCCAACCCAAATGTCAGAATATTATGTTCGACTGATAATTTAAAATGTCAGGCAGAATGTTCATCCAGTCTGACATGGGTGTCAAACACACATTTGAAAGTTATTTCCAGGCTTGGCGCAAAGCCTTGAATAAATTGTAGCTCTGAATGAGACAATTATCACGGCTTACAAATATTACAGCTACAACACAACATTACAAACACATTAAGGTACACATAACTTGAATAGTTTATTTTCTGATGTTTGAAATACAGGTACAGAAAATTAAATAATTACTTGAACTATTTATAATCATAATCAATAGTGATACAATATAATTAACGTATTTAAATAAAACAATGTTGTAGAGTATTAAAAACAGAAGAAGAATAAACTAAGAAGATACATAAAATGAAAATAATACCCCCACCCCTCACCCAAAAAACCAAATGCACACCCAAAATATTTTTAAAAAATATAATAAAAGGACATAAATAAAAAAATACATAAAATAAAATCATTTATCTATAATCCAGTAACAAATTATTTATCAATCAGTATCATATTTATTTATGTAGCTAACTGTATTAAGTAAATCAACATGAAATATAATTTTCTTCCCAAGATGGCACTCCCCTATGTACCAAAATGCAGGCCTAACATACTATTGAAAATACGAAAGATATATCAAGTAAAAATTTATATAGCAGCACAGCAATATTATTATTCATACCGAATTGTATTGTTCATGTATTTATGATTTATTAATAATGTATATATTTTAATCTCACACCTATTATTCATACACAATCCTAATAAATTAAAATAATACCTTTATGCAACAGGTTAAAATATATTTTCTTCCCAAGACCAACTTACCGCATGTCAGCTGCCATTAACCAATTTTTCAGACACACTTGGATAAGGCTGTGCAAAAATATCGATATAATCGATAATCGGTAGAAGTTATTTAGCGATACGATAATCGATATTGAAATTCAAATATCGATTATCGGTATATTTACCTTCTGACGGCAAGTTACGGTCACTTTCACATGACTGAACTTGCCGTTGTCTGGCATGCACTGATGCAGACGAATGAACGAATACACAACAACTATTTTCCCCCTCGGCTTACAAACTGGCACATTTTAAATATATATTATTGTAAAAAAAACTAAACTTTAAGATTAAATACATTATTTTAATATTTTCGTTGTTATTACTAGTTAAACTAAAATAGGTCACGCACTTTGTGAACAATGACGATCGCACGTGATATAGTAAAATTAGAATTATCTCCCTTCTTTGCTCTTGATTGATTTGTAGAGAAATTGTCTGCTTTCACGATAAAACTAAGTGTATTATTAATGATCAACTCCGCTTTTATTACTAAATCATGTCAGATACAGTCCTTACATCCCACTTCTACTCGTTGCCACCCTTTGATAAAACTGTCCTGTTTAATTGCAGTACATGCAGAAAAGTATCCGTGTATCAAATGTTCAGAAAGAGTACTGTTCATTTCTGA